TTGAAGACTGCTCCACAATATTATATAAAAAAATAATGTTCAAATCCATTTCCTTAAACTGTGTGAAGGTTGCACATTTTTAGAAATGTAGGTTGATCTGGACAGATCAGCAGAAGACATGTAGAAACACAGTAGAGGCAATGAATCCAAAGGCAGGCATAAACTAACAAGCTGAAGAACACATTTTTTGTAACATGAAGTTAAGTGGAAAATCTCTAATATAATTTTTCATAAAATGCAATTTCTAGGTTCATAAATTCCATGATAATGAATTTCTGTATATCAGTTTCTGCTCAACTATGCTAAAGGAATATAGTTTGGAAGAAGTGTAAAATTGCCCTTTCATTATCCTTTCATCCAACACTAACACTTTTGCAAAAGTCCAACCTGAGGTCCCGAAACAGAAAAGCAAGATCCTGTGGGAAGTTCCATAAGACAACAATGGAAATTATTTCAACCCTATGAAAATGCAAAGAAACTCAAGTCATATTACCTGGGGAAGAAAGGGATATAAGAAAAGATACTACAACAATCCAAGTATATTAAAAGACACAGAAATAGACAACAGACTGCTTTCTTTCCACTAAGAATAGAAGAAAAAAGCAACTTACAGCACAAGAAACTTAGGGAAGGAATTAGGATGTCTATGGATTGTGAAGGAGAAACTAGAGTGTTTTTCAAAGACATTTAAGACAGTCTGCCTTCCCAAAAGACCTTTAAGTATATAGATAATCATCTTTCTGTAATGGGTTTGGTGAAGTTTCATTTGAACTGTATGGATTCACTAGATATATGTATAAGACTAGGTTGTAGCTCTTATTCTATGATCCTGTAATTACATGGTCCAATCTAAATGATGTGAATACTATTTTTTCCCCAAAACAAGGGACAGTGAGTTAACCATCAATATGGGATTAAACAGTTGAGATTCTTTACATGACTAGCACTAGTAACTATCACCAAATTGAGAAAATAATCAAGTAGAGGCTAAGAATACTAAAATTAATATTTAATTTTTGCAATGGAACTGATACCATTTACAAATTTAACTCTGATTTGCAATTCCCTCTATTAGCAAGCACACAATGAATACTTCTTAGTGACCTATGTCCTAATTCACTTCTCCTTTATACAAGTAAGTGAACTTTTCATTATTTCATTTTGAGAAGCAGAAAACACAAGGAGACTTGCATCACTCAGTTTTCTATTAGCAGTGGAACATAGCTGTTCTAACATAAGCCTGTCAACACAGAAAATATGCCAGGGTGATATAGCACTAAATATAAATCCTTTAAGATCACATGTAATTGTCTTTTAACATAATTAAAATTTTGTACCCTTGCTCTTATCTTCTCAGAGAAGAAAAATAACTGAATACTCAGTAAAGATGACTTGCTACATTCATTATATTGCCATGGCTATTCCATGTTTCTCAATACAATAAAACATAGTATTTTCTAGTATGAAACAACATCTATTTTCACATATTTAAATGTACTTCTTATGAGGAATAATTCTAATTAGGCTACATTACACATAATTGTTTATGTTTCTGTGTAAAAAAGTTTTTTTTCCTTCCTACAAAGGGATTGAAACCTTTCAGTGGAATAGATCTGTATACACTAGCTCTAATAGTGCAACAGTACTTGCAATTTTCTTTTACTATAAAAAGAATTTGTATTATTTCTATACTAGCTACTCATCAACAATTTTTTTTCCTTTATTTGATGTGTCCAGAAGGAAAAAAACAAAACAAAACACAAATTCCCCTCCACCTTCTAATACCTCAGTAAAACCAGTATATTATCAGTGTAAGGAAGCAAAACTCATGAGTTTTGCACAGGAACACAACTAAGCATAATGTAACTAAAGGCCCCCCAGAATGCACTTTAGGCTGCGCAGCCTATTTAAAAATGATGTTCAGTTCCAGCTTACCTATCACCTTAGAAGGCAAAATAAAACAGAATCTATTTTAAACAGTCTACAGCAGTTATTTAAATCCTTTTCCTGATCTATCAATCTGTAGATTTCTTAAATTTATTTTTTATTATAAATTAAATATAGTCTATTAACATTTTAATAATATAGGCATAAAAATGTCATTGCAGTTAGGGAGTGGATTTTTTTTCATTGTCCACCTAAAAAGTATGTTACCATAGTGCCTAAAAGCATACTTTTGAAATAAGCTCTTTAAAAATTACTGAATGGTGTCCCCTTTTCCACTTACCTTCCAGAAGGCTGTGTGATCAGGTTTCTGTCTCCTGTTTAAGATTTAGTGACCTTAATGTAACCTAAAATATGAGATATTCCTTTCACTCAACTTTAAGTAATAATAGCTCAATACTCATTCCTTTAAGGACTACCATGAAACTAGAGGAACCTCTGGTATCTTTTCTTAAAAAAAATCTAAATATCTAAAAATCCAAATTATATTTCTTAGCGAACATAGCTTATTCATCTAGACAGTAGTATAGTCAATTATGGTACATAATACTACCCTAGAAGTCTGTGATATGATTTGTTTAACAATGTTAGACAAATATTGAGTTTCTTAAATTCCAAAGTTGCCACAATGAGAAAAAACAGCTTTTCCAAAACTCTCAGTGACAGTAATGATAAATAGGATTTCTGATAAAATAGAAGACCTTAGCTTTACTGTCTGCTACAGTGCCAAACTTCAAGAGCAAAGTATCTCCAAACTAATCTTTTTTTGTCTTAATTTTGACAAATACCACAGACACACTATTATACACACCTCTTCTAGTTTCTACTCTTTAATCAAATTAATAGATCTACAAGAGCAAGCCAAAAAAAAAAGTATGCCTTCCAGGCAAACTTTTGCTTTCAAAAAGTAAAGCTCTATGAATACTTCCAGCTGGAAAACGTCCACTTCTACCACTTAACATGCTCATACTCATTTTCTACCTCCTGTTGACCTGCTGTTTCTGCCTTCATCTTCTAGACAGAGTAAGAGCATTTTGTATCTCTTTTCACCAAAAGGTATCCCACTGTGAAAAAAAAAATCTGATTTCCACTGCGACTATATATTTAGACAAACACCACCCCCACCCACCCACATATATGTGTCCTAATTCAACTATATCTAAACTCGTTTCATGCGCTCTGTTCCTCTCTCAAAACAGCTCCATTATGAAATGTCAGGAAAGGTCAAAAAGGACCTCATTTTTTTTTTGATTGGCTTACCACCTGTTAGGAAACTAGTATTTTTTTTAAAGTGTAATCCTTCAGAAAACTGATTGAAACTCAACATGTGGAGAGGCTGTGTAAAAAATATATATATATTGTAGAGAGCAGCTGCCCACTAACTGTTTCAAATCTGTGGAGAGAATGCTTAACGAAAACTAAGATTGGTCTAGTTCCTAGATTATGCTGTATTCTATACATTTTCCCTAGTTATGACTAAGGTCTACAACTGTTGAGTCATCTCTAGGCTTGCTTCTGCTTACAGCAAACCTCAAACTTTACAATTTTACTGTTTCAGTCAGGAAACACCAAACCGAAAAGTGACTTACTAAAATTTCAGAATCTTTGAATAATACTTTCAGCCTCCCTGCCCCACAATATATATATATATATATATATATATATATATATATATTCAATAATCCTCACGCCCCCCCAACTTCTGAATTTCAAGTAAATTTCAACACAGCTACCCTAAACAATACTTAACTGTACTCAGAAATTCCCTGGGTCAGCGCACTGTTTGGGGTATTTGGATCAAAGTTAGCATTCTCCATTGGTGCGCTGAAAGGACAGCTGTGGCATAGCTAAGGACCTGCTACAGCTAAGCGTTTACAGGCGGCGTGAACACAGTGCAGTAACCTCCCCTGGCCAGTGAGAGTGGGTGGCGAACGCCATCATTTGCACGTGCATCTGATGAGATGCGAAGGGGGCTAAGGATACAAATGTACCAGCCGCAAGATGTATGCCACAACTTAATTCTCTCCCCTCTCTTTCCTATTCACCGACATCCAAAAACAAACACACGTGAAGGGGGTTTTCACTTCTCTCTCTGATGACCTGGTAAAAGAACCGAGGGGGAATTTATTTAGCACCCCCAAGTAAACAAGGAATTAAACGGAGAAATTTCCAAAGAAGAAAAATAAAGTGGGAGGGAGAAAGTGGGCCGTTAGGAAAAGGTAAAGAATGTTAAGAGCCAGTAGTTGTGAAATGCTGTTATCCCAAAGCTTCCTGGGTTGGGAAGGTAATTTCTTTATTCAACTTAACAAGGTTTCCTGAGATAGGAAGAAATGTCCTTCCCTCTCCTTCTATGCTCTTTTTAAATTTCTAAAGTAGTACTTTTAAATAAAAGCTGAAGTTTTCCTTACTTATAATGAGAAGCATGCACTTTGTGCAGTTTAGTAAATAAGGGTCAACAAATGGATCCATAAAGTGTGTGCTTCTAAACACCAGATGTTTGTTAGTTTGGTTTTTCACGAAGGGGTAGAAGAGAGAGATGAGAAATAGGAAGAGAGAAGCAACAAACAATATTCAAACCCCCCCCCTCCCCAAACCCTGGTAAACACCCACATCTGGTGTTTCGACACATACTTTCCTCAAACACAGTCTCTCCGGGCAAGGCAACATTTTGCATACTTAAAGCTAAAATTCATGCAAAAAAAAAAAGCCAACGGCAACGAATCCCTCCTCCCATCCTCAAATCACAAATAAAAAATTTTAAAAAGACAACAAGTGGTGATGTGAAGGCAGGCAGGAACGTGAACCAGGTGCCAAGCCGAAATCTGACACATGTCACATTTGCACCGCGGCGCAGAGAGCAGCCGCTGGGGTGAAACTTTCCTGCAACAGTAGTAGGAGAGGATGAAAGTCAAGTCCAGCCCTAGAGTCTGAGGCTGGAGGTGGATGGTATGGGGGGGCGGGGGGATGGCAGGGAGGGTTGGAAGAGGTGGGGGGTTAAGAAAAGGTGGAGGAGAGGGGAGGGGAGAGGGTTAAGAAAAAGTGAAGAAGAAACTTACCAAGAAAAGCGAGACGCGGAGCGGGGCGTCCAGAGGAGGTGACCCCCGAAGAGGAGAGGAGCTGCCGAAAGCCCCAGCCCACGCAGCCGTGCACAAAGTCTTTTGCAGCTGCCGCCTGGAATGGGGGGTTAGGGGGGAGAGTGTATCTGTGCGTGCATGCGCGTGTGTTGTGTGTGTGTGTTGTGTATGTTGTATGTGTGTGTGCGTGCGCGCGCGCGCGGAGGAGAGGGGACGGCCGCGGGAGTTACGGGGGGGGGGGTCGGACTGAACTACAAGCGGCGGACGTAGCAGCAGCATAAATAACTGGGACTGTTCCTCCGCTGGCGGCGCTGGGCAGCGCTGGGAGCTCTAAGGCGGCGGCGGCGGCGCGGCGGCGGCGGCGGCGGCGGCGGCGGCTACACGCGCCGGCTTGTCTCGCGCTTTCTCGGAGGCTCGCGCTGTCTCGCGCTGTCTCTCCTCTCTCCCCAAGCCGTGTCTGTGTGTATGTGTGCGGAGTGTATGTGTGTGTATGCGCGCGCGCGCGCACACGAGAGCGTGTGTATGTGTGTGTGTGTGTTATTGGCAATGTGAAATGTACACACACCACTCGCTGCAACCTTTTCTTTCCAGAGGTTGGGGGGACGGGGAACTGGGGGGGGTCAATTGGACTCCTTCCTGGGATTACTGAGGCTGTTGGGTGGGGATTGTTTATTATGGTTTACCACCACCCCAAAAAATAGAAGGGGAGAACATCCCCCCACCTCACTTCCATAAAAAGTGTTTTGGGACTAGATTCTCTTCACTTCCCTCCCCACCTCTTTCCTAGTAAACGCGGAGCAGGATATTGTTATGATTTTCTGTAAAGCGTCCTATCTGACGTCAAGTCCACCTGCTATGTAAACAAATAGTTGGGAGAAGTTGTTTGTTCTCCGGATCTTTCTTCTACACCCCACTCCCCACCCCTTCTCCCCCTCCCCCGCCACTCCTCTTCCAGCTCCTCCTGTTCCACTTAAACCTGGAGTGTAGGTTTGGGGTTAGGGCTTGGGAGTGGGGTGGCGGAGTGGGGGGTGGGGTATTAAGAGTGGGGGTGGGAGGAGGAAGAACAAAACCTTATGCTGTATTGGCAATGCTGAGTGGTGTCTGCAGCTTCTTGGCAATCCCCAAAGTACAGTCCTATGCAGACAGAATTGCTGGCAAATGAAACAGGGGATTCCATGTGAAGTGCAAAAAGCCTTGAAGGGATCCAAAGCCACCAGGAGAAAGGAGCTGAAAAGTACAATGTAGTCAGAAGGGGAGATTCTAAAATGTTGGCTCAGATTCTGATTTCTCTTTCTGTTTTTGTGCATCTACTACCTGGGGTGGGGTGAGATTGATTTTCTTTTTAATTTTTTTTTCTGGTCGCACTCCTAGCAGTTGTTTTACTTTGACTTCCCCACAATTACGATGGCCCCTGTAGGTGTTCTACACTTGGAAGATTGGAGGAGTGAGTAGGGATGGAAGACGACCTGGTAAAGTGAGCGTGCGTGGGGAAACGGGCGGGGTGGGGAGAAAGCTCGGAAGAGGGGTACCAGTCTGGCCTTTTAGGGTTCCGAATCCTTCCGTGACATATCTTGTCTACTGATGGATGGGGAGTAAAAAGTAACGCATATGAAAGAAAACAATCTTGCAAGTATCTTGCTCTGAGTATGCACTTCAAAGAGCGCAGCGGAGGAAGGAGAAGCAGCAGGAGCTCGCACATGTTGCAGGCAGGGTGGATACTCCCTTGAACCCTGCTCCTCCGGGTGTGCAAAAGGGTCTGCACTGGACTTAAAGGGTCAGGAAGTGGAGGAGAAAGTAAAGAAGACAGGGAGGGAAATCTGGAGAGAGGACTCATCTGGAATCTCGGCCCATCTCATTCAAGCCAGTGACAAAGTGGGGAGATAAGTACAACTACTCCCCCCACCCCACCCCCCACCAACTGCTGGTAGCGGTCCGTGCTCTGCTTCTCCTTGCTAGCTCTGGGCGCAGTCCTCCAAGCCCTGCTCTCTACTCCTTCCCTCCAGGTTTACACGACCGCTCTGATCACCCACACTGTACATTCATTTCCTTGCACTCGCCTCAGTTGTAAAGCCTGTTTTCCAAAAGGCGTTGAAACTTTACTCCAAATATCTCCAGGCACTAACAGGCTGGTATAAGTAAAGCCCAGCTCTTCATTGCTCCCCACCCCTCCCAGGAGAAAGAACTGCTAAGTTATAAAGTCTCTGGTGGCAGGCAAAGTGATTCAAGAGACTAGACAGGCATTAACTTCTGCATTCGAATGTCTTTCATTTCCGCAAACAGCAACAGAGCCCTTTTTTCCAAAAAGGAAGGAGTGAGTTCATACACAGTTCGCACTCCTCTTTCCCACCAAAATCGCAAGTTATCTCTGGTAAGTATCAACCCCTGGCACCCACATTTGTAAAAATATCATCACATTTTCATTTAAAACCAATTTAATATATTAGGAAGCTAGACTACACGTCCAAGCAAGTCAGCCCTTTCATTCAATGGAGCTAGGAATGGAGAAGGGTGGGCTTTGCTTCCAATACAATTCTAATTGTTTCACTTTCTGGATGGATTTTAAATTCTATCTAGGCATAAAGTGCCCTCCTTAATATTTACTGTTCGGAAATGTTGCCTTAACTGCTAGAGGGCTAACCGACATTTAACAATACCAAAAGAAAATTTCTTTGTGTTTCGGACTCCTGATCAAAATTAGACTTATCTCCTCGCCCTCAGAATCCTGTGGATAATTTTGCGTCCAGTGTAAGTGCATTCCTCTGAGGCTAACAGACCTGAATCATACGTGGATGCCAGTCAGAATTGACAAGAAACCAATTCGAAAAACAAAGGGAAAAAAATGATAGTAAATCCGGGGAAAGCTGGTTGCATACTCTTTTTCCCTAGGTTTATGAATGAAGGTAGTTTAGCGGTCACAGAGCTGACAGATTGCTATTCTCTTTTTCTCCCCACCCCCACCCCTTTCCCTTGCTTAACTGTATTCTCTTTCTCACTTGGTGTTCTGAGGAGGGAAAGGAGGAAGGGAGCTCATATAAAGGAGCTGGGGTCAACCTGACAGTACAGTTCAGGTTCCAAAAAAGACAAAGGGGAAAAGACACTGGAGACTCTAAGAGAAATAGATTTAGTTAGTCTTTCACCTTCCGCCCTTTCTGTACATAAACACACGGTTTTGCGAAATTTGTTAGCCTATGAAGTTTCTTTGCTGTGTGTGAAAGTAGCCAAGAGATAAAAGGTGTAAAAAGGAAGTTGTAGCTTGAGTTGCCTATCTTAGAGTGAGGGGATAATCTTACTACTAATCAATCTCTGCTGGACTGTCCACACTTAGAAGTACGCTTCCCTTTGTACTTCGAGTCATTATCTTTATAAACCTGCATATATTTCTTCTGAGGCCGACTAGCACTACCACTACCCCATCCCCCCCAGGGAACAAGGAGGGCGAGGTGAGAATTGCAGGTTCTACTGGAAGCAGCAAAGCTTAGCTGCTTCTCTGATTCCTAACTCTCAACCAATAGAGTTAGCCCGGGTTCGAGAGGTGAAAGTTCAGCCCCAGGGCGCTCTCACTCCCTCTCCTCTTCCTCTCCCTCTCCCTCTCCCTCTCCCTCTCCCTCTCCCTCTCCCTCTCCCTCTCCCTCTCCTTCTCCTTCTCCCTCTCCTCCTTCTCCTTCTCCTTCTCCTTCTCCTTCTCCTTCTCCCTCTAGCTTTCCCTCTCCTCTATTCTCCCTCTTCTCTATTTCTTTTCTTTCTTCTATGTATCTGACTTCTCTCTCCTCTACTCCCTCCTCCTTTACCTTCTTTCCCCCACTTCTCTCTGTACCTCTCTTTTCACCCTCTTCCTCTACTTTCTTCCCCACCCTCCCTCTTTTCTCCCCTGTTTCCTCCCTCTCCACACATTACGTACATACACGCTACCATTCACTGCCACGGTGGCATGTTCTTTGTTGATGGGTGGCCATAAAGTATATTTATTTGGTTACTCGCTACTCTTTTAACTCCCCCATCTTGTTAGCTAAACACTAAACGCTTTGTTTCACGTTGGTTGGTTACTGGAACGGGTTTGAAGGGCGCAGTTCTCACAGAATTCAAGAAAGTTGAAATCATAATTAACAAGCCGGCTTTCCGAGGCTCAGGGAAACTCTGGAAGGGCAAAAAGCGAACGAATACTTGCCTTTTCCACAAGCCAAGAGTTATTCAACAGGCTCACTATAGCCTTTTAAACGAAAAGCAATACATTGGGGAAGGGGGAGGAAAGCCGAAACCTGTTTCTAGGATTGCGTCCCTGGTTGCTCCTGTTGCATAGGTCTAGTGCCCATTCAATTCTATCACATTGGTCAGCCCGTCATTCAAAGATAATTCGGGAGAAACTTGAACTGCGTTACTCTGAAACAAAAGATCTTTCACTGAATGTAACCTCCATACGTCCCTCTTAAAGAAATATATGACGTTTGTTGGACAAAAAAATCCTCCAAACAACAAAATCCGTGACAGTGCTCCATGAGGGAGCCAGGTACCAGTTAAGTTCGTTTGATATGGTCTTTGCCAGCGCTTCTTGCGGGAAATGGAGCAACCCAAGTGAGACAGTCAAGTGAGAAGGAGGAAGGAAATCTCTGTGAATGACACATAGTAGAAACATCTGTATTGTTTAATGGTACTTCATTCACAGCACTTTTTTGTTCCCCTGCTTCTATTTAATTACTTTGCCACAAAACTGTACGATTCTTCTGATGCTGAAATGTTGTCTTTAGAAAATTTTCCAGTCAAATATTAACTACATTTTTCTATGAATGCCTTTTATTAATGTTACTGTTCTTAATTTTTAAAAATATAGTTGAGATATTAAGAGGAGGAAATAGAAAAGGTTTAGTCAAATGGTTGTTTATTCCCGCTTTCCTGTTAGAGCTACCATCTGCAAAGTTGTATTGTATTACTCGCTTCAGATAACCCTTTATCGAACGTCTTCTTTTAATTATTGTAATGTGTTTTTTCCTTTAGGATCACAGAACTGTGCACAGATCAGGTTTCTATTTTTCATGACTACTGTTTGCAGAAAGGGAAACAAACAGACTGCTCTTAAACACAAGTGACTAGCCCTACTACCTTCTCAACCTCCTAACTCTCTTCCCCTCCCCAAACACACACATATTTCCCCTGCCTTTTAGAGTTTAGAAAGGGAAGAAAATACTGGTTTGCCGAAGTCAAATCAAGGGCTAATCTATATTACATCAAATTGAGTGCAGAAGTTGCAAAATTGGTGGAGTTACACCACCATCTGTCGTTAAGCTTTGGGACTACAAAATTTGGGACGTAATAAATCTTAATGAGTTTTGCCAACTTCTTTTTTATGTAGGCCACACTATACTTTAAATTTAAGGAAAAAAATCTA